TATGTTGTCCATCAAACGTTACGCATCTTTTCAGAAGATCTTCACATTTTACAATGAGCATTTTACCTTTCAACCCTTCATGTTACCCAAACATGTCATGTGCCAATATTCATCGATGGAGCCATCTCAACCGATAAAAACAAATCCCAAAAAAATGTTAAACAAATCAATTCTTGTAATTCTCCTCATTTCTCTCATTCTCTGTGTCTCTACCACATCTGTCACAGCTCAAACCTGCAAGAATGCAATTGTTGCCTTTGATCCAAGTCCATGTTCCTCATGCACCACTTGTACAGGTGTAACTAAATCCTGTTGTAGTGTAATTCAAGATACAGCAGCTTCTATCGTTGTTAGTGCTCTCACACTTCTCAAAGCTTCAGAGTCATGTGTCATGTATATGAAAATGTATTCATGTGCTGTTTGTGATGTAAATAATGCTAAATACTCCAGCTCTTCTGGTTCAATTACTGTTTGTCGTTCATATTGTCAAAAGGTTAAGGATGCTTGTGGAACATCTTCTACTAATTTCAAAGATTGTTCATCCTATCCTGAAACTAATTGTTGGAATAGTGCTCCATTGAGTGGAAAGGTCAATTGGGTCTTGTTTGCTCTTGCTGCCATTGTTGCTACTTTCATGTTTTAAATTATTTCATCATCATGGAAAAATAAATCATTGATTGAAAGGTGAATCTCACAACTGTTGGTTGATCGGAGTGAAAGAAATAATTAAATTTTCACAAAATTGTTCCAGAAATGATGGAACTGTTTATTTTTCCATCATTCTAATATACTTATTGATACGTCTCTCACTTAATCTACAATCTGTATTTATAATTGAAAACATTTCTTCCACATCCAATGTTTCGAATTGATTGGTGGCTGTAGATAAATGAGTTAAGAAATACATAACTCGTTCATAGTCAGCAGAAAGTAATTCCTTTTGGTAATAGATCAATATTCCCATTGTGCAAGAATACATGTAAAGTCTACCATGAACTAGATAACCATCCCAAATTCTTGCAACCACATCAAGTGGAAGAGATTTACTAAACAATGTAAGGAACCAGTCTATTATAATTACTGCGAATTCAACTCCCAAATCCACAACCAAGTGCTTGTAAAGTTGTGCGTGATGTTCTCTTAATAGTATTCGTACAAATTTCACATTCTTATCAATATAATCAGTGTTCATAGTAAAAAATGGAATGAAATGATTGCTGGTATAGAGTGTATGATAATTGGAAGTGAATTCTGCAGTTCTCTTCTTTGGTCCAAACAAAATTGAAGACACCACTGATGCAGCAGAAGCAGAAGATGTAGTGGCAGAAGATGAAGCAGATCCTGCTGGTGTTCCAACTAAACTCATAGCTAGAGGGTTAGAATTACATTTTGATCTATGTAACAAGTTACAAAAACAAACAAATGCATCATATTCATCCATATAAAGTAATAATGTTGCTACCATATAACTCATTCCTTGTACGTAGCCAATATCTGGTCTAAACTTTGAATAACATTCCAAAATTGTTTTAAATGGTTGATAGTATGGACCATCAGGATATTGGAAAAATTGGAGAGCAGGGAAAGTTCTTGATAAATCCACAGAAATTAGATCAATACTTGAACATTGTCTTTCCATAGTTGAAGGTTGATTTGTCTTATCTTTCAGAATTTCATATAGACCAGGAGTAATTTGTAACTCATTTCCTAGAGAAGCCACCCACATTTTACTTCTCAAAGGACTTGGAATACCATTCTTATACCACTTCTTATACATGGTTTTATCAATGCAACCATATTTTTCAATATGTGGTAGTATTGTATTATGCCAATAATCTAAATTTGATTGAATTAATTGTTCTTTTGCTTTTTCTTTCCTTTTCCTTTCCTTTTCTTTCATAGATTGTTCAATTAATTGTTTTTGTAATTTAATATTTTGTTGAATCATATCAATGGTAATATCACCATTCTCAGGTGTTCTTAGGCTTGATCTTTTTGGTTCTANTGAAGACGATGATGAGA